TGCAAATTTATAAAGAATTGACCTGATGAAGTTCTACCAAGGGAGTATTTCTGAATTAAATCTTAAATCTATAGGAGCTACTCCTGTTCCTTAAATTCAGCATGTGCACAAAACATTTCCAATGTTCTAGAGAGTCAAGACAAATCGTATACAAATCAGCAAGTGGACTAGTGGATGTATTATAATATTTCATTTTAGATCTGCTTGTTTTTTGCTGAACATATTTGAACGTTACTATTTTCCTGAGAGCTTAAGTACATATTTACCGGGGAAAAGGTTCCTTAAGGACTTGTGCTGCTTACTTCACTCTGAAAACATATCGAACTACATATTTGGTAACAGGAATCTTTATGCTCCATGTGGGGGGGAAATCAGATTAACAAAGGAAGACTCGGTTTTCCACTCAATTTAAGAAGGATATTTACACATATAGTCTGTTTGTGTGGTGTGTAGTGCTACAAAATCTGTTGGCTGCATATAGTTCAACAAGCAATAATATGACAACTACAAAAGACCCTCCTAACATGAATGATGCATTGTTCTCTTTCAGGCCTATTGTATCTGAGATAAATGAGTTACTTATTCAGTTCTTGTCTGATTTAAGTTTAACTGCTGACGGCTTTATTGGGCACTACAAATTCAGGCCCAAAAAAATACCTACAACCGCATCACCTACTACCGCAACCCTCCCTGCCACCACAAGTAAGTCTGAAATCATTGTTTAATCTTTATTGAAGGTGTTGGTAGGAACAGGCAGGGAGGATCAGCCTTAATCCTTTTTAAATTTTTAAAAATCATCTTATTGTAAAGAAGAGGTTGGGGGAAAGGGTCGCTTTGATTAAATCAAAGTAAGAGGACCTTCCATTCTGAATGCTCATGTGTGTAGTGATGTCACATTAGTCTGGAATATTGTGATTTTAATGAGCCCTGCAGTCTTACTTGCAGTGTTGTGTATAGATTGTCATAAACAAAATGAGCATAAAGAAGGCTGATGGTTGGTTGGTTACTTGGAAGACCTGGGAGCATAGCATGACTGATAAAATTGTAATAGATTTGGGACCTCTTTTCCTCCTTGACTGCAGTTGGTTTCAGAGTTAGATATGCAGAATATCATCTGTGCCACCATGAATGTGAGGTTTGATCACTGACACACATTGTACAACTCTGTTAGAGCTAGAACCACAGCAAACAGCAAGAGTACATGGCGCAAGTACAGAATATTGGTTTCTTTGAAGTACGGTGTGTCTGGATTATGTGGGGTTTTTGCTTTGGGAATGTCAGTTCTCTCTGTATTTAATAGAGTAAACACACAGGAAAAATGAAAGTCCCTTTTAAATGACTTCTGAAACACTTGAACTGACTTCACTAACTCTGCTTTCTCGACCTCTTTGGAGAAGCGGTGAAGCCTACAGTTGCACTGTGCCAGCAAAAATGCAGAAGGAGCGGAACTCTTGAGAGCAGTTACTGTTCAAGTAACTTCGGTAAGAGCAACAAGTATTTTTTCCCTTTCAACCAGTGACTTGGGCATGTATGCTTAGTTTCATGGGAGGGTCAGAGCCACTTATTTGTAAACTACCATTAGTGCACAAGGAAATTCTTTCAGATCATAGTACTTGCATCTCTTATACTGTGTCTATGACTCAGTTATATTCCTTCAGATGTTTTACAGAGAAGACAGTGTGGATGTTTGTCAGGGGGGAAAACTGTTCCAGTCTAAACAAAACTGAACAAACAGAAAGCAAACTGTTGCTCTATGAAAGTGTTGATTCAGTGATGATGCTGGCATGTTGTCTTCTTGGAACAGCCTGTATTCCTTATTCACTGTGACAATTTTGTTGTATGTACTGCTGTAATTCTGGTTTCATAATACTTCTTGGAAATCCTTCTCTGCAATGCAAAATTTGTTCATTATGGTAAAGGCCTGTGTATCTTCTCCTTACCTATTTAGATATAAAACTGTGATGATTGATAATATTTGATTCAAATGGTTAGTTGCTTTAACTTGCGCAGGGCAACCCAAAAACCCAAAGCAACTTACAACCCAACATTTATATGTGGTTGTCTCAATGCAACCGGCCAACACAACTAGCATAATACTTAGGGGCCAACCCAAACTCTTCTAACTTTGTAGCCCAGCAGGGCCTTGCTGCACATTGTGGCTGTGGCAGAAGTTGGTAGGAACATGCAGATCACTATGCCACCCTAGACCCACCACCAAACTGCACCTAGCCTACTGCAAAGTGGGGGTTGGGAGACAGAAAGATGCGTGTAAGATACTGACTCCACTTCATGTTAATGTTACAGCATCTCCAACTTACAGTCCTTTTAAGATTCTGTGAACCACCAAGGCGGCCTTGTTAATTGGTGGTCAGTCAATGTTCCAAACAAACAACTCACATTAAAAAGAAGGACATTTGTCTAACTTACATAGCTATAGCCAAAGGACATACTTTGAGACTTTTATCTTCTGTGCACATAAAGGTGAAGTGGTCATGTAACTGTTTCATTGTGTTCCAATCACATTCCAGTGTATTAATCCTATGTATTTCTTTTATCTAGTAATAACTGGATCCATTATCACAACCAACATTAAAGGTGGAAGCTTGCATGCAACAGTATCAATTATTAACGTCTACAAAGAAGGAAATTTAGCAATCCAACAAGCAGGCAAAAATATGAGTGCCAAGATCATTGTTGTTTGTAAACAGTGTCCTCTTATCAGAAGAGGTAAGTAATTAACAGAATTCTGCTTTTTGCAACTAACACTAATTTCCTAATTACTTCTTTAATTTTCAATGACTTTCTCAGGACACTTTATTCAGAATCAGATTGATCCTTTATAGAACAAAATGTCAAAGCAAACTATCCAAATATTACATACTGATGGGTGTGTTTTTTTAAACATACTGATGAATGTTTGAGAAAATTCAGAGACCGTAACAATTTGATTATAGAATTGCTTCTCTGAAAGCTCTTCAGTTAATCAAAATTAGTTAAATAGTGCAAATGAGTTGAATGAGAAGAGAGGATTGGTTGCTGAATCTGCTGTTATAAAGGTCATACCTCTGTAAACCAAGACAAATCTAGGATAATAGTAGACATACACACACCTTTAAAACTGAACTATATTGAGGGTGAAAATTTGGATTCAATTTACCAGTTCACCATCTACTTGCATTATACCACTATTTGACTCTCCTGTAGGCAAACAGAGAAGGCTTACTGCTTTTCATCCAAATCAATCAATCAATCAATCAAACTCAATGTAGAAAAGCAAACTCAATGTAGAGCAGGCGCTAGTGGGGCATAATGAAAATTAAATAAAAGTCGGTTTTTTCCAACATTTTAGTGAGCACCTGTTGATTAAAAAAATTAGACAAGATTTAATGTAACAGTGATTGCACTGCTGTTAACTTTTTAACAGTTAGCTTTATGCCTCCTTATCACCTCAAAGTGAAAGGACCTGTTCATAATCTCATCTCAATACATCCTAATATTCCCAAAACATCCAAGCCTATGCCATGGATATCTTCCACAACTGAACTTATTCTTCCTTAAAGGTCAATGTTTAGTTTCAAAATTAATTAATCCAGGAATACTCAGTATGGTGCCTTCCTGATTTTGTTGCATCCAACTTCCATCAGCCCCATCTAGCATGGCAGTGTTCAAGGATTGTGGAAACTATGGTCCGGTAATGTTTGGAGGACATCACATTGGCAATTCCCTGGTCTGGTGTTTACATTTCTGAGTAAAGTCCGATCTGTTTCCCTCTCTGAGAGGAGAAACCAAAAGATATTACACTCTGAAATCTACATATTCAACTAAGAGATTATAAAAGCTATGGAAGGCCATTTACAATACAGATATACAGGTTTACTCAATGATTACACTATAAAAATTGCATGAAATAATATAGCTGTATTTTCCAAATTGTAGAACCAGAAATTCTGTTCCACTATTTTTTAAAACTCTTCCCCTCTCAACAGGTCTAAATTACGTTATTATGGGACAGGTAGAAGAAGATGGCAGAGGTAAAATCCTGCCCAGCAGTTTTACAATGAGTTTCAAGACGAAGAACCAAAAGATCCTGAATATCTTGAAAAACAAGCAGTGTTGAATGTGAATTTTTGCAGCTGAGTCCTGTCATCTAGCCTCCAGAATCTCTCTTCATGCAAATAAAATGGGAGATTTTCCAGGAACGTAGTGTACTTTCCGGAATTTTTCAACCTTGTTTTCCTCATAGACTGATGTTGCAAAAATCAAAAGAAAAATACCATGATTGCGAATTTTATCTTTCAATACCTTCAGCAACATCAGCCAGCCTGTACCATACCAAATTTTCACTACCGTGAATTTCTTAATTTATACTTTTCTCAGAAGGATTTTTTTTTAAAAAAATGACTGATGTGATGAAGTGCAATATTTATAGTAATTCAACTTAGTTTTCCTGTTTCCTTGCAGTATAAGCTACACTTAATAAACATTTCTAAAAACTCAGTGGCTTCAGTGTTGGGATTGGATATGGAAGTTCCAGGTTCAAATTCACTTGGATATGATATCCACAGCGCGACGGTGTTTGTACATCGTGGCAAACCATTATTAAAGGTTTACTGTGACTCAAAACCATTCCTTCACTTTTCCCCTGGTGTGAGCAGGAGCAACAAACCATGATCCCCACATCACGGCAGTTTATTTTGCTTCCAAACAAACTGCATTCTAAAGCCAAGGTTTGCTCTTCACTTATAAGGATTGCTAATCTGAGTAAAACAACTGTTTGTTGCTTAAACGTGTGCTAGGGGAAGAGTAAGGGGGGAGCAAAATATGCATTCAAAGCAATCCATTAACTACCATTTAAAATGACATTAAATTGGGCATGTGTAGCTTTGTACAAGACATGATCTCAGCCAATCACACCTCACAAGGACTTCAAGAGGAAAAAATGATGTCCTGAGCTCCATGAAAAAGACAAGATACAAATGAAACAAATTTATTACCTGAGCTTTTAGGCAACAATTCTTTAATGTCAAAATGCTTATTAGGAAATGAAACAACTCTTTTAAAAAGCTTAATACAGAAGTATCCAATTCAAGAATGATATGAAATGAAAATTCACTTTGAAACACAATGAAGTCTGGAAGGATTACCCCAAAGACATCCGCTGGCTCATCAGCAGAAAGCCATCAACTGCTGTCGTACCTTATTGGATTCTGCATTGTATACAGTATAAATCCCAAATTCTGCAGCAAAACACATTCTCATCAGGTTTTCTTCTGAGGTTTTTCCTGCATCACTTACTTTGTGCTATTCATGCTGTGTGCTTGTGGAATGATAATGGCAAGAATTTTTTAAAAAAACAGAAACATTACATATGAGAGAAGACTAGAGCAAATCATTTGTAACTACTCCTTAAAAATAGTTACAACCACAGTACCACAAGATAAGCACTCTGGAAAGGGCCCCTCAAATTAGTTGTAAGAACCTGGAAAACACAGGTTTTGTCATTTATTTCTATGATGCCTTTTTAAAAAGCAGAAGCAGAGTTTATAATCTGGCTGCATGAAAGAGGCAGAAAAAGAAGAAGGGGGAAAAATAGTGTAACAAAAAAGTAGCTTTTGTTCCGCATTTTACAATTAAGATCTCCAAAGCACACAGTTTCATGTGATATTCTGTATATGGTATCAATGGCAACAATTTTTCTGAACAGATTCTTAGATTATCCATTAGGTCAGCATTTGCCTCCCCCCACAAAAAATAGTTATTTATTCTGTTTCTGTAGTGTTTCAACAGACAAGATATAACATATGGCACAAAGCATTCATATATCTTAAGCCACCAGCTTTTTCATAAAACTGGATTGAGTCATTATTTATATTGAAGTCTACATACAATTTTAAAAAATTCTTTAGGTAATCTGCATTCTTTCTAATGAAGTCACACATATATCTTTTTAATATACAAAATATATTATTTTTTTCATAAAAACATCATTACAATAAATAGGAGGAATATTGACTTAAACCTTGTTCCCTCATTCATCCCGATTTACGCTACAAGGAGACCAGCACCTTTCGCCTTTAAATTCTGCAAGCTAATATAAAGTCAGACAACAGCAATTCCTACTATATTTACACCCCATGACATCAATGAGACTTAAGCACACCAGTGCCCTATGCAGAGATAACATTTTGTTACTATGGGTGTGCTAAGCGTTAACCATGGCATAGGATTAAGGGTTATTCCACCCATCTTTGCCCATGTGGGTTCAGGTTGAACGAAGAGGGTGGCACACATGGGGATGTTGGGGTGATGTGTGTGCTCCCTACACTTTTTGCACTCACGTTTTCAGGTTTACTACCTGAACAAGCACCAGTCTCTTAAAGAACATTACGTCTGCACCAAGCCTAACAGAGCACTGGATTGTGCCCATCACCTCGCAATTAAAAAAGAAAGTCTCATGTAATGCACTGACGGTTATCCTTTCCAAGTAAACAGGGCATCAGTATTCCGTACTAACAATCCCTAGCTTAATTCTTCCTCAAGTAGAATGAAACAGCAGATAATTACAATACTCATTATATAAATAAGTGATAACATGCGAAAGCAAGATGCATTCAAAACTGGAAGTATAAGGACAAAACCGTTAATGTCTTCATAATGTATTTCCCATGAACACACAGGACCCAATCCCATTAAAATCTGGGATGCTTCCAATTAAATCAATGAGTTTTAAATTCACTGCATCTACCTTGACCCACTGATACTGTAACTAGAACTGGTGCCATAATCTCTCAATCCTTATGTGTAGGTGTAGATTATACACGCAGAGAATTTCCATTCTAAGAAATGCTTCAGCATGACAGCAAGGTGTCATTTCATTAACAGTGTTATAACAAAGAGTGCTTGCCTATTGCAGCTTTCCCCAATCTTTCAGCATGACTGTCGGGAGCTGTGGTTCAAAACATCTGGAAGGCAACAGGTTGGGGAAGGCTGCTGTGATAAGCTAATGCTGTGATCTCGGAAGACCAGCTTTGAATGCATTCGTTGTCACCTGTAGGACATCTATACAGGTATATTTAGGAATAAAGTGGCCGCTTACCTGCTGGGAGACGCCACTTACAGTCCAGCACAGGTGGCGGCAGCAGGTGCCTGCCTGGCTTCGCCGTGGCCTGGGCAAACATTGCTTCCTCCCCCCGCAAGCTATGCTAACTGCTGGGGCTCATCCATGGTCTCAGCCAATCACAGGCAAGCTTGCGGGTGCAGCTTGGGGGCAGACCAGAAGGAAGACTTAGTCTCCCTGGCTTCCGTCTGGTCTGTTCCCATGGCATATAAAGCAGCCGAGCCTGGGCTCTGTTTTCAGTCACAGCTTGGTCTCTGCCAAAGAAGGACATTGCCAGGAGGCTCCCAAAGAAGATCATGGGCCCTGGAAGTGTCCGAAACTGAAGCTGGGCCTCCCAAGTGTTTTCTTCAGTGAGTGGCAGCAGATTGTTGAACAAAAGACACTTTTAAGCGCCAATCCTTAATAGCAGGGTAGGATTTCGGGGCTACAGGAGGCAGCAGCGGCAACTGTAGTGGGGTGCCAGGAAGCGCTCAGTGCCAGAGGGCCTCCTCACCCCCTCTCCCTCACACCAAATGCCTATGTCCAAACCTGTTGACATCTGTATTCAATAAAGTTGTGGTTTGTTTAAATCCCAAGTGGTTGCCCTGTGTTTACTGCAATTTCAACACTGAGTCTGGGGCCCACAACTGAAAAATCTGTATTTCATGTACAGTAGTGTGCGGTAAGTGTGAATTTAGAAACTCACTTGAAATCAAATTGATTTAAATAGAGCCAAAAGGCATGGACACAGATGACACCTTAGAATTATCTATCAGCAATTTACTCAACTATTTTCTAAAATATTACCATCAGTCCAGTTCCAAAGTGATATCTTTGGTATCATTCAGTAGAGTGGAGTACAAAAATGACAAATATTATTGTTATAATGATATGGCTTTTCATAGCTTTTAAAAATGTATTATATGATCTTTATTGATAGCCTTTTCACAAATGTGCTCTTTTAAATTATTCCAATATCTTCCTCACATATATACTTCTACTTGAAAGGATAACAATTCTTTTAATATTGTAAATATAGTTATTTGTGCTGCCTAACCTATACTGGTCTTGGGGATGGAGATTCAATTACTGTTTCCTTCTCAAAAATGCAAATGTGTGCAAACAAATCATAATCTTAACCATGTTTATCTACTCAGAAGTAAGTCCTATTGAATTGAATGGTGCTTTCTCCAAGGGTTAGGAATGCAGCCTAAATTCTGAGATCCAATTGTTAATGACACATTACAAACTCAACATTTGCATTTGGCAGACTATGTACAAATTTTACATTTTGTATACTTAATAAAAAGCCTCAAAAGAACAAAAAATGGTTACTTTCTTCACAACTGAGTTTGGCTGCATCACATGCAACGGCATTTTAAAAATGTTGCAAGAAGAAATTTTCATCTTTTATTATTTAGGCTGAAAATAAAAATATTCCAATGAAGGTGTCTAAATTTAGGTATTTTATTTAAAACCTTGATTCCTAGTTTCTTTGATAAAATATAGCATACTTTGAAGTCCGGAATCCAAGCAGGTCTCTCATTTCATTTCGGAATTTTGATAAGTCTTGCCGCAGCTCATTGAGATTTTCTACAGTTGCTTGATCAGTGCTTTGCATTCTCTGTCTCATGGAAGTCAAATAACGATGAACTAAACAACACATTACCTTTTGGTAATTCTCATCTCTCTTTTGCTTCAGATTTCTCCATTCCTGTAAGCAAACAGTCTCATATTATATATAATGTACAGATGGCTATGAATCCCCCCCTCAAGTTAAAAAGCTTGTGTATAATGGTAAAATAACACTGGGCATGATCCACCCCAATGTTCTATTTTGCACAGTCATATTTGTGCATGCATGCCTGCTAGACAGGAGAGAGATCCTGGAAGGTTGGCAGGTGATGTCTTCGTACCTTCCTATACAGGATAGTTCATCTCACCAGTGATCAATGTGGTGGCAGAGCAATGTAGAGTTTTCAGCAGAAGTGGCAGCTATGAGTCTCAAGTGGACAGCAGTGAGCCAGTGCTGAGTTCCCATTCCCAAACTGCTCTGAGTGTGTGTGTGTTTGCCTTGTGCCCTCTCTCCTATCTGTTCCCTCCTATCTCTCCATATTTCTGCCCCACCTAACGTTTTAGACTTAACAGCTCTGCCATGGATTTACTGATTGCTTGGCTGAGTAAATGTTTCCTAGATGCTCAGTTCTTTGACTATATAATGTGTATTTGTCTACAGCTTGACTAGCTTTTCTAAGCTCTCTGCCATGAATTGAAAGATTATACTTATGGATAAGTATATGAATACAATGGGTAAAAGTTTTGTTTCCTAGAATGTCCTCTAAATGCTTAACTCCTTAATAATATGCTGCACATATGCATCTTATGATGTGTCTTGAAGTGCAATCTGCATTTTGACTGCTTCAGCCTGTATAGCATGCATACACACACACACACACACACACACACACTAGACAACCATCAACAAATTCTAATTTCTTCTCATCTTTATACACAGCAGAAACTAAGAATAGGATACACAGTTACTATAGAGCAGGGATCGCCAAACTTGGCCCTCCAGCTGGTTTGGGACTACAACTCCCATCATCCCTAGCTAACAGGACCAGTGGTCAGGGATGATGGGAATTGTAGTCCCAAAACATCTGGAGGGCCAAGTTTGGACAAGCCTGCTATAGAGGAACTGATGATCTATCTGGATAAGAAATTAATGGGCTACGTCTAATTATGCCCACCAGCATGTGCAAAATAAATCACTTGCAGAATGGGACTTCCACTCTGTGCATTGCCTTCCCACCCAGCAAATCTTCTCCAGGGGTTCACTAAACCCTCTGCAGCATATTTAGGTGTTGTGTGGGAAGCAGCACAATAGAGGAAGGAGAAGCCTCACTGAGCAAGAGAAAGCCCACCCATGCGAGTTTTACATGCACAAAACATGCCTTCCCTTAAAAAAACAAATGAACAAACCCCAAAATTCCTGCCTCTGTATTAAGATGTGGCATGATTCTTCAATTATTTTTACCTGCGAAAGGAACTCTAGTAATCATTATACCTGATGAAAGGATGCCCTAGATATGTTTATTCAAAGCAGTTGTAAAACAAAGAGGCTGTAGTGTTTCCTTTGGGTATTTTGATTTGACGCGACACAGGGCATGCTTAAAATTAGCACATGGTAGGGGAAAGCTAACAAATCTGCATCATTTTTAGAATTAACATCTTGCTATAGAAAAAAAAACCCATTTGCCTGTACTGAATTTGCACTACTGTACTCTAAACCCTTAAATAATGTTATGAGAGGGAAAAGCAGAAAGGACTTCAGAGGTTGCACTCAAATAGCTTGCAACTGACTTGTGGAAGATACTTCGTTGATGTTTGGATGCCAGGCACCATTCTGAATCAAGGTGGTGGACCAAAACATGCCTTTGGCATGACTTCACCTATTTTGTCACCTGGTTTTTTGTATTGTTGGGTTTTTTTGCATGATGGGTGTAAACTCACGAATTACACTCTCCATTTAAAAATCACTGTATCTTTTGGTTTCTAAAAATTCCTGGGCCCCGCTGAGCACTCCCTGTTAGTATTTTATAACTATTTGCAGGGGATTGGACTACATGACTCTCATTGTTTCTTCCAACTCTACAATTCTATGGTTCTATGTTTCTATTTCTTACCTTTAAACTATTCTGTCGCTTGACTTTGCCAGATGATGTATGAGAGCCGATCCACTTACTGAGGCTGTTAAATAGGTAGCATATAGTCTTTGGAGATGGAAAAATATTGAAGGGTGGTGGTAGCGTACATTTATCATCGAAATAGCTAAGCCAGAGCTTGGCACGAGCAAATTTCCATTCTTTATCTTCATGATTCTAAATTAATGGGGGGGTTGGGAAAACAGATATTAAAAGGTTCTGCTGAGCGGTGATAATAAATTACAAAACTGACAGGGAATTAACACACGCAAAAGTGCAACCCCCACACATGCACAAAGAAAAAGATGCACCTAATATTTAACCATGTGTATGAGGCTTCTTGTCACCTGTCCATCTCCCCTTTGTAAGGGTGCTGCAGGTGAGAAGAAGAGATGGCTGACAGCAAACCCACCAAGAACCAGGCTCAAACTCGGGTAGAGGCTTGGGCTCAGTTCATAATGGGGCCAGAATTCCCGACAATACCTATTTTATCACTATGTGTATTTACATGTCCATTATTTCTTTTATAAAATTTATACTCCGCTTGATCGTAAAAACAAACTCCGGTTTCACCTCAGATCGTATAAATCTTTTGCCTTTAACAAACAAACTTCAAAGCAGTTTACAAAAAGATAAAACAGTAAAATCGCCTGAAATCCACAACCACACTTTAACACATACATTCCTAAGTCTCTGGGTAGGCTTGTCCAAACAAGAATGTTTTGGGCAGGTGTCGAAAAGAGTACAGTGGTACCTCGGATTACATACGCTTCAGGTTGCATACGCTTCAGGTTACAGACTCCGCTAACCCAGAAATAGTACCTCGGGTTAAGAACTTTGCTTCAGGATGAGAACAGAAATCATGCTCTGGCGGCGCAGCGGCAGCAGGAGGCCCCATTAGCTAAAGTGGTGCTTCAGGTTAAGAACAGTTTGAGGTTAAGAATGGACCTCCGGAATGAATTAAGTACTTAACTCGAGGTACCACTGTATAGTGAAGGCACCTGCTTGATCTGAATGGGCAAGGATTTCCAAAGCACAGGTGCTGCCACACTAAATGATCATGCTCTTACAAATGTGGAATGGGCATTTTGTGTCACCTGATGGAGGGACAATTCCGCTGATCAAAGTGGCTGAGTGGGCACATGTGGGGTAAAGCAATATTGTACATAAAAGGGTCCCAAATTGTTAAGGGGTTTATATATGCTAAAAATAACAGCCTGAGCCCAGCCTGGCAGCAAATTGGCAACCAGTGTAGATACCTGTGCACAGGTGTTATATGCTGACAAGACCCCACTCCTGTCAGCAATTGTGTTCTAGCATTCTGCGCTAACTGCAGCTTCCGGATCAAGCCCCACATTATTGTGCTATACAGAATCAAGAGCACTGTTGACACTTAAAATACAATAAATCTTGTTTTCAAAACACTTACCGCTATCAGCTGAAAGCTTTTATGGAGCATCGCCACCAAGAGCTTGGTAAGGACAATTACAACTACTACATTGTATGTGCCAACAATAACAGCACCCACAAAAGACTGTAGTTCTTCGCCATAGCTAAATCTCGTGACAAAAATGGCTACGTGTGCAAGAGAGAATATGTACCAAAACAGGGCAAAGCAGGTGCCAATAAATCTGAAAAAAAGAAAAACTGTGGTTAGATAGTTACTGTGCATTAAAGGCCAGATCAATGGAATCAATGCATTCATGTTCTATAAAAGAAAAACTGTGATCTCAATCAACACTATGAAACTCACGAGTGGAAGGTATCATTGCTTTGCTGCTCACAGAAAATCCCAGCACAGTCCTTTTCTTCATCCACAGTGAACCCTTTATCATACAGTTGGGTCAACCCAATGGTGAATGAGAACAACACAAGAAGAAACATTCCAAGAAATTTTCCGAAGTCCTGCAACATCTGCCCCATTGAAATCTGTAGGAACATATTGATTTGTTCTCAGTTTTAAACAGCTATGAAATATCAAATGGTGATTGCATATTAAGAAGGCATGCTAGAAAAACTATTTCCAGGACAAGCAGATTTTCCTGACCAAATTCATGACACTACAAAAAAGTCAAGCGGCTGTTCTGAACACTGTTGGGAGAGAGCTGTGATAAAACCACAGACTACAAGAATTAAATTTTATTGTACTGTACTGTACAAATACACATGCTATTTTATCCTGAATCATTTTTATTCTCATAGTAAAAGTAAAATACAGACTGTTTCCTTAACTCAAATGATATATCTGAAGCAAAAATAACAACTATAAAACGTAGACTCAATGATAATCTGGGGTATTGTTTAAGGAGTTATGTTGCTGATATTACTTTTTGTATCTTTATTTTAGATCTTATTATGATTTATGGGGAAATTGTTCAATTTATTTGCATACTTTTTGCTGTTTTACTTATTTATGACAACTTTTGTTATGCTTGTAATTAGGTACTTTTTCATTTTAGAAGCCATCCTGAGCATGGTTTTAAACTACAGAAAGGAGGCATACAAATAAAACTACATATGTCTATACATATAATCTTCAACATTTTCATGACTGAAGATGGTATGAAAAGTTTAACTATGAGGTTTACATCCAAGCATGAATGCAAAGGATTGCAGACTTATGAGTAAATATGCATAGGATTGGGTTATGAAATTAATAAACAGATTTAAAGCTTCTGGTGTATAATTTCTATAGCAGGGTTAGCCTATGTGGTACCCCTCAGAGGTTGTCGCCTACAATTTTTATATTCCCCAGCCAACATTGTCCATGATCAAGGATGATGGGAATTGTACTCCACAACATCTAGAAGGCACTATGTTGGCTATCCCTGTTTTACACTAACCCTAAAACAAAAATGGGAAGGGCTATAGCACTTTCTCTGGAGTACTACACAGATACTAGGGGTAACAGATTCTTTTTTCACTGCCAGAGAGATTAATAGGATGACAAAACAAATCCTGTTAAGGGTAGCTATAATTTAGGCACGGACTTTAGTAGTCAGCATTACACTTACAAAGCGTTATACATTTGTCGAAGACACTTTTTTGTGAAAATCTGAAGCGTTTGTTACACAAAAACAATCTTATTGTAAAGATTATTGTAAAGACTGTTTTTAGTAGCAGTGAAGTTAGGATATATCCATCCCACATTTTTACCCGTGTATCCACAAAGCAACTTACAATAAATATAAACAATTTATTCAGCTTTTCAACGAATTTATTAAAAGCGTTCATAGTTGGAGATAAAGGAAGATGGCAAACTGCTTTGAAAGTGTATATAAAAATATAAAGGTGTTGCATTAATATGTGTTTCATTTCACTGATGGGGTGCAGTTTATGGGCATTTGAAAATCATGACCTACTTTTGGAAAAGTATGTGGGTCAGTCTATGGTCGCCAACAAGAGCAACTTAAGCTCCAGTGTGCCATTGAATGGGGTGACTATTGGCTGTTTATGTACAACTGGATTTCTGACTTCACTACATAGAGGGCTAATATAAATGCATGTTATAGTTGCAATACATAAATAAATATGTACGTTACATAGTGAATGTCTTCAAAAATGAATATGGACTTTTTAATGTTCAGTATGTTGCCTCCCTGTACTATTAATGAGGAATTTGCAATAGAAAATGAGATTAAGTTGGTAAGATGGAAAGGAATAAAAACTGGAGAACTCTCTCTGCTGTGACACGAAGTGCCTTATGGATAACATTTGATGTTTTTTCTTATATGTCTCGTGTTAACTGTAATCAGAGACGAACACAACAATAATATGGCTCTTTGAGCTGTGTCTAACAGACAGATGTGCACTCTTTTATATTACCTTCCTTGGTTGCTGTTGTCACACAACTAGATATCTTTGGAACTAGGCCTCTGAATTATTTCCAGAATATCTGGCACTATAAATAGGATGTGCCACTAACACTTTGATCTCAATTCACCTTCGAATGGCACATAAAGCAACTTCCTTTTTAAAGGATGCTGCACTCCTTTGTGTACCATGTATAATGCCATTTTCGTTTCGTTTCTAAAGTTTCTAGCCCAGTGAAAGAACCACCACTTTATATGCCCCAATAAGCCCACATAATCAGGACACTATCCAGCTACAAAAAGAATAACTATCAATACACACAATGATGGAAATTTAAACATAAATAGAGAGTCTACCTGAAAAGCCAGAGGCAATTACACCTGGCCGTTTTGTCCCTAGGACAACTTACCTGAAGTGGCCCTAGGACAGAGCTTGTTGTATACATGAAGAAAAGTCGAAGGTAACTCAGAACGTTGGCAAAAGCAAACAGACCTTCTGCCACCAGGGTAGGGTGGAAGGCATCCCAATCCTTCCTCTCAGCAAAATTATGGAACTGGAGTTTTTGAAAGAAGTTGAAGTTACTTTAAGTTATACAGTGGCAGCTTTCATCAACCAATGACACACATTATCTGTAGCCTATCTTCCAACCATGAACAAATCGCAAGCACCAAGGGTCACACATTTCCTTTCCCCCTTTTAAGTTGTGAGAGGCAAAGATCAGGAGTAATGGTTTATAATTTGCAGGATAATGATATTTTGCTGTTATATCCAAATGCAGCGAACACTGATTTGCACAAACCAACGCTCAGTGTATTTTGAATGACTATAATTTGTCACAAATCCGCCTGCTCATGTAAAAAGAAGAGAGCAAGACAAGGAGGGAACACACCACCCTGAGGCTTGCTCATAACAAAGCATGGCTTGACATTGCTACTGAATGTAGCCAACAGGAGGCTGCAAAGAAACAGGAGTATTCTCCAGCCGCTAACAATCCGGGACAAGATCCAGCACTGAATGAGGTAAAATAATGGACCAATGATCAAACAGCTGCCCTACTGACTTTTTTTTTTACACTCAATTTATTTCTGTCTAAAATATAAGCTAGCTTTATTTTAATGAGATTTTCTGACTCAAGGCAATATTTTGTCAGGATAGATATAAGCCTATTTAATCTGGAAGGTTCTTACATGACTAGCAAGCAAAGCTAAGAAGATACAGCTTTATCTTGCACTCCAAATGAACACCAGACAACAAGAAAGGCAGCTCTGAAGATTCAGCCACATGAGGAAAGAATATCTGAGTGGTTCAGATTAATACACTTGCAGCAAGACGGTTTCTGCATCCATTAAGGCTGGTACAGATTTGTTTTCCCTCCATTAGTCATGACTGGGAGTGGGCAGTAGATCACATGCCCCCGTCTACAGTCCCTTCCCTCAAGAGCACGTTTCTTGTGACTCTTGGCCATTGTTCAATATTATGTCTGTATTAACATTAACAATGATTAATCCTAATCAGGGTATATTCTTCACTCAAGATTCATAACCTGGATTCAAATCTTGGGTTGGGAGCAAATTGTGACTAATATCTACCACAGTTAACGTAGATGCAGAAGGAACACTGTACTGCAGAGACTGGTAAGATAGATATCACACCAAACCAAGGGGTGCAAAATTAAAAAGCTGCACATACATTATTATCACGAAGAAAAGCCCATATTATTATTATATATGATTATATGATTAATGTGCCCAATACTTTAGCGGCCTGCATTTAAAAATAAAAAGGTCCCAAAGAAGCTTGTAATCTAAAGTGAAGAGAAAACGAAAGGGAAAGGAAGCACAAAGGATGGATGTATCAAATGCAGCCACACTCCCGTAGGGCCAAATTGCACAGTACAAGAAATGTGTATCAGCATTTACATCTCTCTGTGTGTTCATCTCTACCCACGCGTGCTTTAAGCATCAGCTGCAAACCCCAATCATTATCAGGATAATGGCACTGATGGAAAGGCCTTAAAGCCTTTCTCCATGCGGTCCTGATGAAAATTCCCCCTCTTCCCCCAGTCTCACTTCTGCCATTGGCTCTGTGGCCTTCAGCAAGTCACAATTCTAAGTCTTAGTGACTTATGCGTAAAATTGGAGTGTAAGCAGCACTCCACCCAAAGTTATTGTAAGGGAAAGAAGGATAGAGGATTTAAAGCACTTTATTAATTTGCAAAGCGATGTATAAATTAATCAGATTTCATCATCTTTAGGAAAACAGATGATTTGCTGATCATCGCAAATAAGCCAATGTTTCACAAATATTCTCTAAGAAAATAAAGGGAATGTTTATTCCTGCATTGAAAGGGGTTGGACTAGATGACCCTCAGGATACCTTCTATCTCCACAATTCTATGATTCTAGGCTGTAGCTAAAGCTTGTAACACAGCCTTCACTGGAAAAAAATGCGCCTAATTAGAATTAGCAGGTGTCTGGTGTATAAGCCTCTGTATTATATACTCATATGGCACATAAATCCCCAGTTTCATTTTATAATATGTGCACAATACATGAGACTTATGAATGCTCTGCTTTCCTTTGGGTCACATCTGTGAGGTCAAGAGGGGGTGGCCTTGTCATCTGGGGAGACCAGGCCTTCCATACACACTAGCCAGGCTTGCACCCCAGGGAGTCACTTTGATTCTGCTACTGCAGCAGAAACAAGGCGGGAGACGCTGTGATTCTCCAGCAGTTTGACTTCACCCTCAGAGTCACACTCCAGATGGATGACAACAATGAATGCACCTAATTTCAGATAAGACTACAAATCCACTTGGATGAATAGCAACGTTGCTGTTGGTTCACATCCTTTTTTTTCTATAATAGAATAAAAACACTCGAATACACCATCAAACACACCAAAAACATAAGAAAACAGAAAGACTCAACATGCAGCTATATCTTCACATGCTTACTTTCTCTACTAGTGCTAAATATATGAAGACTGAAATCAAAGACATACTTTGAGGCTTTAAATTAAGAATGAGTGTTCCTAGGATGCCCTCCATTTTGAAAAACAGCGTAATTTTATGCTGGTGTCAACCACCAAGATTTTTGTTGTTTTAAAACATTTTTTAAAACTTATTTTTTTAAAAGGTTGTACAGGATTCTGAACAACACAGTGTTATCAAACACTGAGTTGATGTTTACCTTGTTATGGGCAACTACTTTGAGAGCAAAAGTTGCCAAATAGAGAGAATTCATGACAAAACTAAGTTGATTTCGGGATTCCTCTAAGAAGTCTTCTAAGCCTTCATACCAGAGCCTTTTAACATCTGACCACACCATTCCTTAGAGAAGAGAAACGCAGTTAGTGATATATACTAGATTCATTTCACAGTGATTTCAGTGTATTCTATGTGTCTTTCCATCAACTACAAAAGTACCTCCCCCCCCCAGAGTAATGGGGAGCAGAGGAACGTAAGAACTGTGTGTACTGCCAAAGAAGCATTGGGTTAAAACATGCAAGAAGGGATCCACACCTTCTAAAAGACAGTGGGAATTATGCTAACAACATAACTGCAACAGCCAAGCAAGGGTACCACTATAGTGGCTTGGGTAGATAGCCATGTTTTAACCTGGAGTCAAAACTCAAGCCATGTTGGTGCTATCCTTTAGCAGCCTTTCATATTCTAGTCTCTCTTTTCAAAGTCATAATCAGTGTGGTTAAAAATAGCAAGAAGTGAGTCTCAAAAGCAATGTATGTATCTACATGTCTTACTAAGAAAAAAAAACCTCTTCTATGTAAATGACATACTCTTATGTCAATAGTAAATGTTAATAGTTTTAAAATTTCTAGTCAAGGTCACATTATGCTCCCCCCCCAGTACATTCTATGCTACTTTACTATCAAACATTTGTAATAATAGCAACATACACAATTCCAAACTGAGCATAAAGAATATATAGGGCCATTCTTATTTAAGCAGTGTGCTTCACAAAAGATTAAGTTACGGTTTAGTGCCCCAAGTACAACTGTAATTTCGTTTGCATTTAGAAAATAGTAGCAAAGGTTGCTGAATTCATTTTAACAAACAATGTTGAAGAGCAGTGATCCATGCTCCCTCTGCTGGTTCGGTAGTTACTTCAGATAATCTGCAAACTGTTTCTGGAAAGACAGCTGCCACACTTCAAGGAACAGAGTTCTCTATAAACATGGTGCAAGTCTACAAATATTTAAGTTCTATTTTCATAAAACTTGTTATGTGGACTGTAGGAATGATTTACACAATCCTTCCTTCCATATAAAGGGAGCGGGAATAGTACAAAATAACAACATCACAGCTTTGTTGTGTATGGACTGGGGACACACATTTTCATGCTCCCAACATCAGGCATACTCTAGCTATGTGTGAATCAGCACCACAGGGACTACTTCTCATACCTGAAAACTTCTTACAAAGTATTACTTTCATGTATGAAAATGGAATGTGCAACTATAATATATGACAATTCCAACTTTTTTTGTTGTTGTTGAGGGGTAAAATAGATATGAATACAGATGTGGGTGCCTGTCACAGGTCTGTGAAATTCCATTTTTTTTTACAACCAAAGATGCAACCTGGTAAGAAATAAACTCATCCCCTTCCCTTCCCTTGCCTTAACTTGCTACACTTTTATCACTTCAAGTACTTTTCTCCCCACCCTGACTCACTTCCAGTACTGAAGGTGGGGAAAGAGAAGAAAGTCTACACAACGGAAGATGTGAAGGTATTCAGCTTCCATGATCTGACATCCACCTTTTTTAGACCTCCTCAGCCTACAGTTAGTTCATATAAGAAATAGAAGAGTCGCATGAACCAACGAAGAACATGCCTGCCCACATGTCTTTTAATGGTAATTTGTTGTTTGGCTGAATTCTTATGAGACTTTCATCTCTAGGATCTGTTTAGAAACCTTAAGAATCACTAGGACATTATTTTCCCCTTTAAAGGTATGGAGTTCCCCAGTGATCACAGAGCCTTCCCCCCTTAGCATAAGCAAATACACTCAAAGGAAACTAGTAGAGGAACGTAGACCAGGAGAGGGTTTAAAAGGTACGGGAGACCAAAAGAGTTCTCTCATTTTCCTACTGCAGTGTTACGTCTGGGCACACAAACAAAACTCCCAACTCTTATGCCCTATGTAGATCCAACTACAGCATAATCAATCACACCCCTAGATAGTAATGGCACCTAAGCCTGGTAAAAAAATAATATATCCTTCAATTATATTAAGACTGGTATGCTCCTCCCTGTCAAAATAAGATGAAACATGTCTTTTTCCATTACTAGACAATATTGCCAGGGTTGTAACAATTAATTTTATAACCATTTTATACTTACCAATTAGCCAAAATAGTAGAAGATAGTCTATTCTCTCCAATTCTGGCCCCATGGTATTTTTTTTATCTTCATTGTAGACAAGTGAGTACAAGTTAAGCAAGAGGAGAAATGTGAAATATGATGCTCCATGAATGATAAACTTCATAAACGGAGTGTGAATTATTCGGCCTATTTGAGATTTTGGAGCCAACAAGTAACAAAGAGACAGTATTGGCCAAAATATGCCAACTGTCAGGACAGTCAAAATCTTCTTAAACGTGTGCTTGCGACGGTAACCAGCCATTTGTCCAAACCAGACAGTATTGAGAAATTGCTGGCAATTAGACTGAGAAACAAACTGCAATAGGAAAAGAATTTTACATCAATAAATACTGTCCAAAAGTAGCCAATAACTCATTACTCAAGCTTTATTTAAACCAGTGGGGAGAAAATGGGGTAAGATTACAATTGTACTGTACAACTAAGACAGTCGTACCTTGGTATGCGAACACAATGCATTCCGTAAGTCCGTTCAACTTCCGAAACATTCAGAAACCAAGATGCGGCTTTCGATTGGCTGCAGGAGTATCCTGCAGCCAATCGTAAGCTGCAGAAGTCGCACCACACTTTCGGCTTCCGAGGCAAAGTTCGCAAACTGGAACACCTACTTCTGGATTTGTGACGTTCGAGTTCCAAGTTGTTCGTGAACTAAGCTGTTCAAAAACCAAGGTACGACTGTAGTAAAGGTAAAGGGACCCCTGACCATTAAGTCCAGTCACGGACGACTCTGGGGCTGCACACTCATCTTGCTTTACAGGCCAAGGGAGCCGGCATTTGTCTGCTGACAGTTTTTCCGGGTCATGTGGCCAGCATGACTAAGCCACTTCTGGTGAACTAGAGGAGCGCACGGAAACACTGTTTACCTTCCCGCCACAACGGTACCTATTTATCTACTTGCACTTTGACATGCTTTCGAACTGCTAGCTTGGCAGGAGCAGGGACAGAGCAACGGGAGCTCACCCCGTCACAGGGATTCGAACCGCCAACCTTCTGATCAGCAAGCCCTAGGCTCTGTGGTTTAGACCACAGCGCCACCCGTGACTGTAGTGGTAAAAGGTAAAAAGGTAAAGGACCATTGGATGGTTAAATCCCATCAAACATGACCATGGGGTACGGTGCTCATCTTGCTTTTCCAGCTGAGGGAGCCGGCGTTTGTCCTCAGACAGCTTTCTAGGTCAGCATAACTAAACCGCTACTGGTGCAATGTGACACCGTGATGTAAGCCAGAGCGCACGGAAATGCCATTTAACTTCCTGCCACAGCGGTACCCATTTATCTACTTCCGCTGGTATGCTTTCAAGCTGCTAGGTTGGCAGAAGCTGGGACAGAGCAACAGGAGTTCACCCTGTTGTGCAGATTCGAACTCTAATTTCAATGGTTCTGTTTTTAAGAGGTAAAATTTAGAATAATTATTCAGAATCAAGATAACAAACACAAGTTCAAAACTAGGGATGAACAAGTCTGTCATTTTAGTTTCTTCTCAATTCATTTTTTCCCAATCCTAACTTCAGTTCTCCACATTTCTCCATCAATTCATGAAGTTTAAGAAAACTCATCAACATTATAGAGTGAATTTCTCCAAATACACATGTTTTGGGATGCAATTTTGCCCAGGATACATAGTTCTGCAAGCAATGTTCTCCATTTGATAGGACTAGCATTGTATACAACTCTTTACTTACCTATTGCTGCGGTTCTTGAAACTATTAGAAGCAGCGTGCCTATGAAAATATGTATCTATCATAGTCTGGTCTATGCCATCAATTAGTTGGACAACTTTATAATACATTAGCAAAGAAAGAAAGAAAGAAAGAAAGAAAGAAAGAAAGAAAGAAAGAAAGAAAGAACATACCTCTTTTTGGTTGTATTTAATAGCAAGCTTTAGGCGACTCAAATTCATTCTCTCTTCCAACAGCCCCCTTTTATCCACATGCTCATCACTTGCTGTATGGTTGAGTATAACTTCAAGCTCCCGAGAATTCCGTGCTTGTGCAAGCAAATCTTTAGCAAAGGTTTTACACTGTTGAGCTAATTCTTCATAATCATTTCTAGGATATAGAGAAGGTAAAAGCATACTAGCATACAATGGACATGATGAATATATTTTACTTTAACTCTTGGGAGGCAGTATGCTGCAGAATATCAGCTGCAGGGAATCACAAGTACAGAGAGTGCTCTTGCACTCAGGTCCTGCTTGTGGGCAAAGTAAGACCAAGATGCTCCACTTTATGAGCCTTTGGTCTCACGCAGAGGTCTCTTACGATCTTATGTCTTTTTAATGTTAATTTCACCAAAGAAAGGTCCTTCCTCTATTCAAACTGAATACAGACTGGAATGAGTTAAAAATGAATTTGATTCAAATGGATGATTTAACTCATCAATGAAAGAGGACTGATTTAAAATCAATGGGCTGGATCCAGACTAAATCAGGCAAGCTTTAGTCTAATTGAAATCAATGGGACAAGTTAGTCATGATTCATTTGATTTTAGTAAGTGCGACTAACTTTGTTCTAGATCCAACCAACAGACTGCAATCAATTTTTCCCATTGTGTAATTAACACATTTAGTCAATGATTCGTACAATCATTTGCTCTAGCAACTGAAACGTATTAGTTTGCAGCCAAATTGGTCCTTTATGAAACTTAGGAGCATTAGCCAAAACCAATCCTAAGCACAAATGCATAGGATTCCACTGTAAATTCTCTGATATCATTTACAACTGATCATTGGGATTTTGTTGACTCACTTGTGAAGTGCCTGCATCCAAATATATTTAGAAGCATGATACTAAAAAGGAAACAGTAGTAGAAATTAATTTGCTACTGATACCTGAATTCAACTTCCACAAGGCTTAGTTCTCTTAAATCTGCACTAAGTTCAAAGGCTCTCAGAATTGGATCTTCCTCCGTCAACATTATTAGGGCAGGACTGGCCAAACATCGATAAATATCAAGACGAAATCTGTTATAAAAATATCAAAGAATACATCTTAAGACAACCAGTTTTTATTCAATAGTATTTTCAGCTCATACTTTGTTTGTAATCTGTTTAATTTCAGGTATCTGGTATATTTATCTACATTTAAAGCCATTTCCAGTACGACAAAAGAAACACAAAATGCCCTAGGTACTCCTCAAAAGCATGTGTGCTAAGGCAAATTACTTAAGTTTATTTTGGCCTCAGCACTGAAGAAAGCTTATTAATGCAACTTTGTAGTAAACAACTCACCTGGTAGCCAGCAGGAGTGAAAAATTTCTTGTGGCAACTTCATGATCAGGCTGACAAATGAGGGATGGATTGCTCTATTCCTACTCTGCCAGCCTGCTTGTTTTTATGCTAGCCATTAAGGAAGAAAACTTATTTTCTCCATGACCAGCAGAGAAATGCAAGCTACTAGCTGTTTGGCAGACTACTAACAGTTTTGCACAATAGCAAATATAGAAGGGGGGGGGTACATTAGTTATTTCAAAAGGATAAGCACACTACTATTAAAATGAAAACTGAAGCAAATACTTGCAGAATTCCCATTATACTGGAAGTGGAACCCAAACTTTAAGTCTGAGTACACAATTAGAAACATCCTGTACAATTCAGCTGGAACATATTTGGTTGCTATGCTATTTGCAATCATACAATAACTCACTAACAGGGGTGTCTGAATGTAACTGGTTCCCTAATGGCTGAAAAGCCTGGAGGCTGGGGCACAGAAAAGTCTGTCTAGTTTTGCTTCCATCCTGCCCTGCCACATCGCCACCCTGCCACCCATTTATGTGCTGCATTACAATCTTGCATAAATAATATCAGAACACAGTACAAAGAGGGGAAAACTTCTCACGTCCCTCATGCTGAAATATGTGGCAGGCTAAAAATCTTGAGAAAAGGGACAATCCTCTTCTCAGTTTAGCAGAAGGTCATGCAATTATCTATTTCATGTCTGTGGTTTGTAATGACCTGAAAGGGGGGGAAATAACCAACCCTCTTTTATAAAAACTTCTCTCCTGGGTCACCTGAAACAAAGGAATCTGCCTTATACAGAGTAAGACCACTGGACCATCTAGTTCAATATTGCCTACACTCTCCAGAGCCATTTCTCAGATGCATGGGATTGAACCTGGGATATTTTGCATGCAAAGCATGTGCACTATCATTGAACTTTGGATTTTCCCTCGAAATGATTCTTACTCACTACAAGTGATCAGGCAAGTGGTTGCTTAAAATCTAGTTCTTCTAAAAGACAGGAAGGAAATTACATGCATTAATAAACAGCTAATTACTGTAACCTGGAGTGCCGAAGGCTATCTTTTTTGTTCTTGGCAGTACATAATGTACATTCACAGCCAACAGCATGAGGTTTGGGTAGTGACACATCTTGCTTTAATAGCATAGTGAGAATTTCATAGTTGTTACGGTGAGCAGCTAAAATGACTGGTGCCACATCCATTGTTGTTGAATATTCTGGATTCTGAATACGTTCCATTAATTTCTGAAATAGAGAGAGAAAGAAGCCTGGGCTTTATGAATTGTTAAATCAGAGATCTAAAAATTGTCAAATCTACAGGCAAAAATAATATATTTATTGCAGTCTCTCACATTTTAAAACTTTAAATCTTCAGAACTGAAATGTGCTTATAGCAGAAAATATAATTCACCTTGTTAATTTTGTACCACGCTGCCATTTAATAGCTACATCTCTTTTAGCTAGAGCTGCCGGAACTGAATTCTGGCTGAAAAAAAGCCCTAGTTATTGCCACTCTACTTTTGCTTAAATCTAAGATAGCCCTGGCTCAGTCCAAGTCTGAGTATTGATAATGATAGCTACAGGGTACAAATAATTTTAAAACCCCACCCTTTCCTCTCCCAAAAAGGAAAAAAGCAAAAGCAAAAAAAAAAAAAAAAAACCCTGCTCATTTTCAGATATATAACCAAAAGACTCTTAAATGTACTCTCCAAAACTTCCACTATCAAATACAGTGGTATCTTGGTTCTCGAATTTAATCTGTTCTGGGAGTCCGACTCCCGAAACAATTAGAAAACCAAGGTGTGGCTTCTCATTGGCTGCAGGAGCTTCCTGAACTCAAGCGGAAGCCGCGTCAGACGTTTGGCTTCTGAAAAACGTTCGCAAACCAGAACACTTACTTCCAGGTTTGCGGCATTCAGGAGCCAATTTGTTTGACAACTAAGCCATTCAATAACCAAGGTACCACTATCTGTGCTTAACACAACAATCTGAGCAGAGCAACAGTATTAAGATGGGGAATAATACTTTTAATTTATGTAATACTAACAACAATTGTTGGTCTACTGGTTCGTTTGGGTCGATGATTAAGGAGTATATCTACAGCTCCCACAACCTCTGAGTCAATGGCCACCAAGAGTGCATCTGTAGACTGAAAAAATGGAACATTAAAGCAGAAGTAATAGCAACCTGCATACTAAGGAACAAAAGACTATTTTTCAAAAATGACAAAGATAGGTTCACTGAAGGAAAATGTTTCTTTTCTGAAACAATAGGTAAAAAGAAGTTAAATCTCATGATTATTCCAATGGCTATCATCATCATCATCAAGAAGAAGAAGAAGAAGATTATAGTACCTGACAGCCATAATCCAGGAGCAGTTGTAATATGTCTAGATTCTCATTTTCAATAGTTATGGTAATAGCATTTCTCCCAAGCACATCCACACAATTTATGTTCATATCACCAGAGCTATTCTCTTCTAAAAGTTTCTTCACCATGTAAAAGTCACCTAAACCAGTAATAGACAAAAGATCTATTTTAGTGCTTTTTATTTGCTGATATTCTATCATATTATATTATACAAGATGATATTTATTCCTCTTTTCCTCCAAGGGGCTCAATATGCCATGCATTGCTCTCACCTTCTCTGTATTATCCTCAAACCAACTCTGTGAGGTAGGCTAGGCTGAGTGAGCTGCATGGTTGAGCAAGGATTTGAGCCCCATGTTTCAGGTCCTAGTCCAACACTCTAACCCCTGCACCACAAATACCGTAAATATTACACTTACTTTTAAATTCAGTCATCCCTACAAGCTTAGTTCTATGTTCTGCTGTGCAGCAGATGCTTTGACACTCTGACTTAGTGACACCAAACTGCTTTTCGAAGTAGAGATTTTAAAAACCTACATCCTACACTTGCAATGCACAAGCACTGATCCTGCACCTTACATGTACTGCCTAGCCAATGAGCAACGCTCTCAGCTCTCACATTCCAGTGACAAAATAAAGCTTTAACTATCCTTCCCTCATCCTGCCCACCTAACATACTATTAGCACTAATCATATCTTGCAACTAAATTAGATGCATAGGAACCAGTGTGGTGTACAGTAAATATGTGGAGTGCATAACATTTTTATCATGTACACTTAAATACTTTATTCTGTTTGTTATGTTCCAGTCCATGAGAAGAAACTCCAGATCTGAAATAATATCCTAGATAGAAGAACTATGGTGGCAACAAGTGGTGAATTGGAAGAACCACTATTCTTTGATTGAAAGTTAGTATACAGAAATACTTAATCTATCCACGAAGCAGCAGGTACGGTAATATAGCAGGTGTAGGAAACTAGAAATGATTGATGAATTGTGAATAGCTTTATAGGAAAAACTTAGCTTCCCACCAAGTAAATTTCTAGAAATGAAACTCTTTATCTAAAAATCCACCCCCAGGACAACTATACAAAAATGCTCGAACTTCATAGTTATTTAACATCTCTTGATGCCGTTGCAACCCCACAAACAGAATACTATAATCCTGCTTCTCTCCCCAAAGAATAACATCCAACCTCTGCCACCGTCTTCTAACATTTACCTTTCTGTAGCAGAGGTGACATATTATAAAAGTCACATAGTGTTACAGGTCATACCATTTCAAATATTTCCACAGGGCCAAAGCCACACAACTCACAAGGTAACCCCCATGTTAGTTTTAAAATATGCCAAAAATAATGGGCTCCGTATTTCAAGGTAAGTTACGTCTGTTTCTTCCCATTGTGTACATATTTTTAAAATTTAAACAAAACAAATTATTTGGATCCAAGTGGGAAAGTGAAAAAAGTCAGAATGCCTTCACACATTTTGTGTATTAGACAGAAATGTTGAATTTATAACATGCGAATGTCTTTCTGATATTATCTATTTTTATTTTTTAGTAAGACAATGCTTTAGCAAGAGAAGTTGGAAATTAAATTAGCATTAATAACATAATGATGAACAGCAATCAAAATAAGAGCAGTTAATAATTTTTGTACTTATTACATGCATTTCTAAATCTCAGTAACCTTTATGTTGCCCACATATATAAAGAATCACTTCCAGATTATTACTGTTCCCCCCACTTTTTACATGAATGCATGTGAAAGAATAAATTAAAACCAACAGGCAGGGCTAGCCTGTCAAAAGGTAAAGTGAGTTAGCCAAGTAATGTGCCAGATGACTGGGGAAGGAGGCAGCATTGTTATGGTCCCCTCATTCATTCCCCATGTCTGCTGTTTAGTGGAGCACCCTGTAGGTGGTGAATCTGTCTGCCCTGCATAGGCTGAGTGACAAAGTAATGAAGAAAATGACTGTGATGGGCAGGCACACAGTGCTCTGTTGACTGCCCTACTGCACATCCATAAATGGCAGGAGGAAAGGCACAAGGCCACAACAAGCTGCAAACAGGGAAAAAAATACTCAGGTGGTCAGGGCCTGCCTCAGTTAAATGCGTTCACTGGTTCTCCCTCCCTTCTACCATTTTACCCTCACAGCAACCTTGAGCAAAGGTGAGGCCACAAGTGTGCAACTTGCCCAAGTTCACCTAGCATGTTTCACAGCTTGAGTGGGGATTTGAACCCAAATCTCCTGAGCCCCAGCAACCCAGAAGGTGAGGGCAACCAGGAGTAGGCAGTGCATCCCATGAAAGCAAACTAACAGAAATGCAGTACTTGGACATAAGAAAGCTCAATTGATTACGCAGAAACCAACAGAATTTCAGGTGAACTCTCTTCCCAATAATGGAGGAAAGGAAGAAAAGCCCTATTCGTCCTCAAGGACAGAAGCCAGCAACATTTTCAACCCACTGCGGCAAGGGTTGACCAGTGGTTCCCAACCGTTTTTTGGCCATGCTCCATCTAAGCATCTCTAAAATCCTGACCCCTTCCAGCCCGCCCCCAACATATAATTCTTATTATTCTAAAAGTGATCTCCTATTCACACAGAGGAAGCCTAAAAGGCCATTAACTGTTAATAACTCATTCTCGAATTGCCTTCCTTCAAAACCAAATTGCCCCCCTGTGGGGCATGTGCCCCACGTTGGGACATAGCTGTCAACTTTTCCCTTTTCTTGCAAGGAATCCTATTCAGAACAGGGGAATTTCCCTTAAAAAAGGGAAAACATTGACAGCTATGCGTTGGGAACCAGAGGGGTAGACAAAACACCCCAAAAGATGCTCATTCAAGGAGAACATTTTGCTGCCAAGTTAAATCCGACTTCCTAAGAAGGCGCTTCATCCACCTTGCCCCTGCTTTTGCGTTTTCCCTAGGGCATATATATATATATATATATATATATATATATATATATAATAAAACACAAGGCAGTGCGAGGAAGATTGGGTTTGAGAGGTAGCAAACAACCTGTGCAGGTCGTCATCATCCCGTGAGGAAGTGGGTGCGGGTGTGAGAGGCTGCGAGGCTGAGAAAGAGCGAGACACGCATTCAAATCCAGGGCATAGCTATCAACCTTTCCCTTTTCTTGCGAGGAATCCTATTCGGAATAAGGGAATTTCCCTTAAAAAAAGGGAAAAGTTGACAGCTATGATCCAGGGACTGGGAGATCCTGCAATCCTGATGGGCAGCCTCATCGGCTGCTCAGCATCCGTTAACACACTTCAGCCACCAACGTATAGCGGCCACAACCATAGTGGCAATATAATATTCCCGGTATCCATCACTTTCCGCGCAGCGGAGGGGGGCACGGACTCCCTCTCTCCTCAGAGTTCGTGAGACCCTTAGGAGCCGAGTCGGAGGTTTGCGCGTCAAGCTGCCTCCTCCGCCGCCGCCGCCCTAAATCCACGCCGGGCCGCTCCTCTCTATCCGAGGCCCGCAACGGCCCGTCCTAAGCGACGCCCTACCTTTGTCGCAGGCGAGCAGGAAGAGCTTCTCGTCCAAGGTGGTCTCCTCCTTCACCTGCCGGACATCCTTCAGCGCCAGCAGCTTGTTAGGGGAGGCCGAGGCCGACGGGTCGGCGCTCTGGTAAAGAGCAGCCATGGCCCCGCCAGGCGGAGGCCCATCGGGAGAGGCCGCGCCGCGGGAAGGGCCCTTCCTTCTACTCCCTCACGCAGCAGCAGCAGCTGCAGCCGGGGATCCGCCGCCCGCCAGGCCGGCCAAGCGCGCCCCTCTGGCACGCAAGAGGCCGGAGAGCAGCCGAGCGGCGATGGAGATGTCAAAGCAGGAGGGAGAGATCTCCGCGCAGGCGCAGCGAGGCTCCGCGGTGGCCTAAGCAGCCGCGCGCTCTCTTCATTCGTGCCTCGTGAGGCAGCTGGGAAACATCAGCATGCGGGGGGGGGGGGGCACAAGAGCAAATATTCTCATCCCTCCTCCGCCGCATTTTAGACCATAGATACAGCTATAATTCAGGTCACTGGGAGGTATTTTGACAGGAACTGCCGCAGGCCATTAAAATTTGATTGCACCGCATCGCAATGCAATCCCCCTTCTTCTCCAAAAAGGTCAAGGTGGCAGACAAGAGTTCTCCCCCACTGCATCCTCAATCCTGCGAGGGAGGTTAGGCTAGGTGAGTAGTCGGAGGTCACCCAGTGAGCTTCCTGCCTGAGTGGGGATTCGAACCCTGGCCTTCTAGGTCCAACGCTCGACCCACTGGTTCTGTTTTATGGAAACTTAACCTTGAACATGCTTACGTGCAGGCATTTGAAGCTTGTTATCAATTGCAGCACTCACCGTACTGCAGCAGAAGTAACTTGCCGGGTTGGCCCAAGCCATTTTGCAGCCTATGGGTTTTTTAGAAAAAGAACCTCCGTGAAATGTGGTTCAGTGTGGGAGCTGTGATGACCTGGGTTTGAATCCCTTCTCCCAAGAAAACACCAAAAGGGTGAAGAGATACTTGTCTCTCAGCTTTCCTCCCTTTTTCCTGCTCCACATATTCACAATGTGATCTTTCCAGACCCCTCTATCTGTGGTCCTCTCAACTGGCAATGCTGAGGATTAAGCCTGGAACCTTGTGCACAGAATGTAGGATGCTCCCTTTCCCCCAGTTTTTAAGTTTGAGGAAGCTGTTCCAGTCTGTCCTTGCTATTTGCCCATGGCTGCTGATGCCTTCTCCTTCAGTGTTGACCACAGGAGAAAATCCCATCAGTTTTCAATGGATGCTGGTATTGGACAACAAGGAGAGGAAGAGGCAGAGGGAAACTGGGGACTGGGAACTGTAGTTTGTTAAGGGTGCTGAGTTGTTATAAGACCCCTACTCCCCTCACAGAGCTACAATTCCCATAATTCACTGTGAACAGGGATTGAGTTAAACCACTGTGAATTGTGGCTCTGTGATAGGAACAGGAATTTCCTAACTGTCAGCACCCTTAACTATGTTTTCTAGGATTATTTGGTGAAGACATGACTGTTAAAAGTGGTACAGTGCTTTAAAAATATATGGTGCTGATGTGGCCTCACTAGACTAAGGGCTTCTACAGGAGACTACAGTGGTGCCTCGCAAGACGAAATTAATTCGTTCCGCGAGTTTTGTCGTCTTGCGATTTTTTTCATCTTGCGAAGCACAGTGTCAGGAAAGTTTTGGAAAAGCTTCAAAAATCATCAAAGTCTTTAAAAACCTAAAAAAAAGGCTACCACACCGCGTTCTATGAGTTGCTCCTCGAAGTCAAGTCGCAACTGTATTAATGGTGTTAAGAAAAAGGAAACAAACTTGCAAGACGTTTCCGTTTTGCGAAGCAAGCCCATAGGGAAAATCGTCTTGCAAAGCAGCTCAAAAAACAAAAAACCCTATCGTCTAGCAAGTTTTTTTCTTGCGAGGCATTCGTCTTGCGAGGTACCACTGTATAGCGTATACCTTGCTGTCTATATGGCTTTTAAAGATATGGGAGATTTGTCATATGCAACCCATCATAACATGCTCCTCTGCATTAAGCTAACACTGGTTTGTATGGCTAAATGTTCAGATACAGTCCTACACTCCTTGAATATGAATGACCAATTCTTTATGATCCAGGAGTGTGGTATGTGCCTACAGTAAACTGCCTCAAAGATTTTGCCTCTTGGATGACAAAGCCAGCCACATTTTGAACCAACAACTCTAGGCCTATCTTGAACTGGCTTTCCCCCAATGACATATTTATCAGAGACTTAAACTGATTTATCAGCTGTTGGTTGCATCAGCATCATACAGTTCAAATGGCATCATACCACTTTAAACAGTCCTTGTTCCAGCCCCACCAAGAATCTTGAGAACTGTAGTTTGTTAAGGGTGCTGAGAACTGTAGCTATTCTATAGCATCTCCTAACAACTCTCAGCACCCTTAACAAACTACAGCTTGCAGATTTATTTGAGGGAAGCCATAACTATTTAAAGTGGTATCATAGTGCTTTAGATGTATGGTGTGAATGTGCCCAAAGTCTAAATGTGAATCTTTTTACCAATATATAGTCTGCAATAAGGAGATTATATATAACTATATATAACTTTCCTATGAGAAATCAGCAATAGGAAGTGTGCACATATTAAAAACATTTATAAGAAAGCTCATCACATGTAAAGAGAGGCCTCAAACTGGACCTGTCATCTCTCTTTATTGTTTCTTAATATAACATTTTAGCTTGGATATTTTCTCATTGAAAGCCTTACTACGTACATAATTTTCATTTTGCTTATTGTCCTTGTTATACTTGTGCTTAGTTTTATTCAATGCCACAAACCACAACCAATTGTTAATTTTTCTTTAACAAATTACTTTAAAAAATATGTTGAAGTTGTTTCATATTACAAGCATTTCTACAGAACAATATTGACAAGAGGGGATGTTCAGTTTTAAAACATAGAATCATAGAACTGTAGAATTGGAAGGGACCCCAAGGGTCATCTAATACAATCTCCTGCAATGCAACTCATTTAAATAAACAGCAAGTTCCATCTTCAATACTACGTTTGCAAATCACTTTTATTTTTTAAATTTGCTTTAACCAGCTACACTTTCTACTAATCAAATTGACTAAGGGTGCAATGCTATAATCAAGATGCAATGGTTACAAGATATGGCAGAAACGCCACCACTACATCATGATAACTCTATATCAGCTTATCTTCCACATATTGTAAAAAGGGTATAGGCAGTGCTATTTTTCTAGAAAAAGAGGTGCCAGAACTCACCATGAACTCATCCCTTGTTCTCTTATAATGGCAATGGCGCCCACCTGAGAGGTGCTGGAACTAAGTTCCAGTAAGTTCCGGCTGAGAAAAAGCCCTGGGTATAGAGTTGTTGACTGTTCCCTAAATTTAACTGAACCTGCATGCTACACTAACCTTAATACAGATGTCTTTTAAATACTGAAGTTTTGGTACACAAAAACTACTGCTCAGGGACCACTGTAAATGTATTGGGTCTCATTATTTGATCAAATTTAAGGGGTTGGAGAAGGGCTGATTCCACAGCAAATTCCCCTCATCCTTCTCTCACCAGTCAAAACCATGATTAAGGCCTACAAACAGCATTGGTCTCTTTATGAAGCCAGCTTCCAATTCTTGATTTCTAAATTCTAATTAACTGCAAACTCTGGTTAGTATTAATCATGTTTAACAAAGGAGGTTCTCATATAATTGTTAACCATGGCATAGGCCTGCAGAGGAAGAGTGAAGGGAGATTGTGCAGGAGAGGGGACGGATTTTGATAAGGGACGTCCCAGTCTCACATCTCAACCTTAGTATTTTAATGAAGGCCAAGGAACAGGGTGTTATAGCTACAGCTGTCCTCATTGTTCAGTATTTTTAATTTCCAAGTATAGTAATACATAAGAACCAGAACAGCCTAACGCCTCCCCCCTTCCCAAGATCTTACCTTCCAACTCCAGCAAATTAAATTCACCCACAACAATTAAAATGTACATCAATTAATCAACTAAAACTTTTGTTGATTGCTCTACTAACAGTGCAAGCCTAACCATGTCTACTCAGAAGTAAGCCCCAAATAATTCAATGGGACTTTAGAATTGTAGCCTAAAACAATTAGTACTCAGAACCTCAGAGTTTTTACTTAGAAGTCAGTCCCATTCAGTGCAATGAAAATTACGGTACTCCCTAGAAAGAATCCTTATGACCAGAAGCTTTTAATTTGCAGCCCAAATTCCAACAGGAGTTTGTGTAGTCCCTTATAATAAGGCAAGGACTTTCAAGGTCTTTCATGTGCAGACTACGCATTAATAACACACTGACATAAAAACTTAATTTCACAGCAGTTCCTAAAATAGCACTTTAAAATCTTGATAATTTGTGCACTATGAAAACAGCATGTATCATATTCATTTAAAAAGGCTATATAACATTGTAATCTTATTGGTGATTACTGCATTACATTAGCTCACAAATTACTGATATATAAAACTTTTCAGATGAAACCTTAAATATAAACAATTCTTATATTAAATAGTCTCTCTATACATCTCCACATTGGTTTATATAAATTATCTCTGTTTTACAGCTACTAAATTCCATTAGTCTGTAAACAATGAGGCATTCATTGTGTATATCATGGCAGAAAACATTTGTAAAAAAATCTTCTTTATTTTATTTTGTTCAGTCCTCTTCCCATCAAGCAAGCAAAGACGGTCATCACCATTTTTGGCTTCACTTCTACCAAGTCATCCGGCAGGGCATATATACAAGCACCAATTTTCCGAGCAACTGATATAGCGTATCTTGGGGAGAGAGGAAAAAAAGCAACATTATTCATCTGGCATTAACTAATGAGATATAACAACCTTATTATTGTAGCATAGCCATTATTTTGTTCTAAAGATGTATTGCTTATCAAATTCAGGCTACACCAAACTATTAGCATATCCATTTCCCTTGCCTATAAACAATTTGCAGCCATAGGTGTGAAACAAAATATTACACAACTGCTATTTACTTACTATAATTATTGTTCCACCTTCCAGTATAAAATTTACTGCAGGGGTGGGTGAACTGTGGTCCTCCAGATGTTGGCTTACAACTCCCATCATCCCTGACCATGGGCACCACTGGTTGGGGCATATGGGAGATGTAGTCCAACACCTGGAGTGCCGTGATGTGTAGTATAAAACTACTATACTCAAATAATAAAAGATAACATGATCGTTCTACCCAGACACTGAGGTCCAGAGCCGAGCGCCTTCTGGCGGTTCCCTCACTGCGAGAAGCCAAGTTACAGGGAACAAGGCAGAGGGCCTTCTCGGTAGTGGCGCCCGCCCTGTGGAACACCCTCCCACCAGATGTCAAAGAGAATAACAACCACCAGACTTTTAGAAGACATCTGAAGGCAGCCCTGTTTAGGAAAGCTTTTAATGTTTGATGCATTACTGTATTTTAATATTTTGTTGGAAGCCGCCCAGAGTGGCTGGGGAAGCCCAGCCAGATGGGCGGGGTGTAAATAATAAATTATTATTATTATTATTATTATTATTATTATTATTATTATTATAACATGCAGTAAAAGCCTAACCAATAAACAAACTAATAGCGTAGCAGAATCAAGCATGTTAGCAGATTATACTTAGAAAGTATAAAGAAAGTCTTAGCTTGCTTCCAGAAAGATAAAGACTCTCAAAGGGCCAACTTTCATGAGAAAGAGCAGCATATTATTGAAACCATACCACTGAAAATAGCATTTTATGTGCTTTAAATAAGTCAAAAGGTAAGATTTTTTGTGTGTGTCAGCATTTCAAAAAACTTTTAAGGTGTTCCTGTGGGCAGCTTCCTATGACTGATTTAGAGCTGTGGCATTAAAGGGAAAGGCATTCAAAGAAAAAGGAAGAAATTAACACATTGTATTTGAGCACTGGATTATGCCACCCATGAAAACTCTGGTATCCCCCTCTTTGGATGAGCACGAAGCTTTCTCTGAGCTTACAACAGTTCCAATATCATTTGTACATATAAAGCGTGCTGAATCAGTGTTCCTAACACTTGATACATAACTCAGCAAAGAGAAATGGGTTGACATGCACACAGTAACACTGTAATGATGATCTGGGCCCCACTGAAGAGGTTTGGATGCATCTTTTTGATGTTTATGAGCCTGAATATATACCCCATCCTCCCAGTCTCCTCATCCCTGATTGCACTGACAACAATACACTTCATTAGACACATGATGTTAAAATATACAGGCAGGCAGATATGAAATAGAGGGCATTTATCTGCCAGCTGAGAATAACTCTTCATGGATCTGAAAAAGAAGGCTCTTGTCCACAGTAGCTTACAGCATAAACACTGTTAAGTCTAAGGTGCCACAGACCATTTGTTCTTTTTTTCTGTAACAGAGTAGGAATTACCATATTTTTTGCTCTGTAAGACTCACTTTTTCCCTCCTAAAAAGTAAGAGGAAATGTGTGTGCGTCTTATGGAGCGAATGCAGGCTGCGCAGCTATCCCAGAAGCCAGAACAGCAAGAGGGATTGCTGCTTTCGCTGCGCAGCGATCCCTCCTGCTGTTCTGGCTTCTGAGATTCAGAATATATTTTTTCTTGTTTTCCTCCTCCAAAAACTAGGTGGGTCTTGTGGTCTGGTGCGTCTTATAGAGCGAAAAATACGGTAGTTGACATTTACAACTAGCCATGTGCATCTGGGCTGCATCACAGCCTCCGTGTATAATAAAGGAAGAAATATTCTGCAAAGACTTACTTAGCATTGTTCAGTTTGTCTGTTTCAGAAAGATCTTCCCTCTTGACCATTTCTGGACGGATTGCTTTCGGCGCAATAGCATCTATTAAATCTAGTACAGGTAAACTAGTGCTTATGGATTTGTCCTGGAAGGAGAAGGTGTTGAAAAGTTTCACTATCATTAATGAATGGATTTTCTTTAATACTCTTACCAGTATTTTCACCATATATCTCCCTTCTCTTTATCCACTATCTCATCGATAAATAAATCCTAATATAATGGTGTGGCAGCTAAAACCCAGTGTATGTAATAACTGCTGAATCATGAATGGTCAAAGTCATGTTTTTCAATACTGTTGAATTTTCTCCTTTTTGACAAATGACCTTTTATAACCACCTGCTGCTTCTTTTCCCATGATAAAATATCTGTTATGACTAAATAACATTTTGTTATGAAATCCTATCAAAAGGTTTTGGAAAAATCTCTTGTATATCCCAGAATAATTCTGTATGTTTGTGGCTATTTTTTCAGGCTGACTTTCTTCTGTGACTAGGATTTCCTTCTACTTATTTGCAAGTGGCATGATCTGCCTATTTCTAGAATCCTAATACTACTTTGAGCTTGCCATTGAGCACTGCATTTTCTTCCTGGTTACTGAAACGCACTTCCTCTCTGCCTTAAAATAGCCGACCCTGCTCACCTCCTTCCAGCAGTTAAAGCAGATGGGCAGTCAAGTGCATGACATCAAGGAATCAGCAGGAGGCACCACAGAATTAGCTTTACTCCTCCAAAGTCTCAGCATGCTATTCCTACCAGGCAGATTAAAGCTATGATTTCAGACTTGCTCTTACTTCTAAGCACCACGATGCATACTGTGCCCTTAAACCTAGCAATGTTCTCCTATCTCAACTAATTAAGCTGATGTATCTTAATAAATGAACTGGCCATAAAATCCCATTCTAGTGCTAATAATTGTGGATTATATCTGTCCATTATTACTCTTCTGTCATTCTGTGTACCCCATGTTCCAATGCCACGAGACCATTTTCTAAAATAGAAAGAGACTGATCTGAACTCTGAAAAATATTGGCTAAATATTCATGTAACATTTACTCGACACTTTTATTTTCACTGGTGAATGGCCAAATCTTCAGAGAACTACACCGGCTCAAGGCCTAATGAAACTGATATTGCAACCAGGCCATTCTCAAATATGTCTTAAAACCTTATGGAAATGTTGATATTTTATGAAGCAGAAACAGTTTTATTCTCAACCACACCAAACAGATTCCAGTCTCTTTCTTAGGCTTGCTCCCTCTAGTGGTTTTAATGCAACATTATATTACAAAAATGTCCCAAACGGCACTCCTGCCTCAAAAGGGGATGGGTGTTTAATACTGTCTTCTAAGAAACCCATCCTGAGGTTTTAGGATTACTGGTTAAGTTGAAATCCTGCTGTCACATGCTAAAATTATTCATTTCCATTAAGCAAAATTTCTGCTAGTTACATAGCATAGTACTACATACACAGTAAAAGTTCATTACAAATACGGATTTACATACACATCATCTTGTATCTATATTAACATGTGTTACTATTATTTTGTAATCTAAATGTGGTACTGTTTTTCATGACATTCATAATCTACTTGCATTCATAATCTATTTGCAGCTATTTATACACAACTTATATACAATAACTAATGCAGAACCTTTGCTATAGATCAATTCCCATCAAAATAATTATGTTTCTGATTAATTCACATTTTTCTCTAGACTGTCTTCATTACCTTGAAGCTAGTTATTGAAGTAGTCTTATTTGCATTTGCAAGAGTCTGATTCACCCATTTAATAATAACCGCATCATTTACTTTTTCCCCCTCACCAAGGTCCGATAGTACATTCAAAGTGTACCTGCAACAGAAAGAACACAGTATTTGCAGCTGAAAAGGAATTTAACAATTCCTCTGTATTTTCCTGGCAACGTGTTAAAACAGTTACAAAATACAACTTTCATACAGAAAAAAATTATAGAAAATGTGCTTGCATTGAGAACAGAAAAAGCAGGAGGGTTAAAAGCAAACTGCAACTTTACTGAAATTGACACAGCACCAGGCAGTATAGTAAAAGGTAAGGTAAGGTAAAGGACCCCTGGATGGTGAAGTCCAATCAAAGGTGACTATGGGCTGCGGCGCTCATCTCGCTTCAGGCCAAGGAAGCTGGTGTTTGTCTGCAAACAGCTTTCCCGGTAATGGGGCCAGCATGACTAAAATGCTTCTGGCGCAATGGGACACACTGTGATGAGTGCCAGAGCGCATGGAAATGCCGTTTACCTTTCTGCCACAGCAGTACCTATTTATCTACTTACACTGGTATGCTTTTGAACTGCTAGGTTGGCAGAAGCTGGGACAGAGCAATGGGAGCTCACCCCATCATATGGATTCAAACCGCCAACCTTCCGATCAGCAAAGCCAAGAGGCTCAGTGATTTAGACCACAGCGCCACCCGCTCCCCAGGCAGTACAGGGCAGGGACTTCAGCATAAGCCAAGTGAAGCACAATACAGCCCAACTGCTTTGTGGCAGATAGAGGCAAACAAAGAGTAAACATGAGAGAGAATGAGACGCAGGGCAGGCACTACTGCCGCTAGTCACATTGGGAAGCATCTTATAGATCACCCTCAGGGGCTTAATGGTATGTCTGTTTGTGCATGGTGGGCGGTAATTTCAAACACAAGGGCTGTGGTATGAGTTGAGGAGCTTCATTCTTCTCCTGCCTGCTCTCTGCTCCAACTTTCTCCAGTTGTTTACTGAATTTTGTTGCTAAATAGTTTTATGCTGTGATTCCTAATTCTGTAGCGTATGACTTGTGCATATATTCCAGACTGGATAAAGTCAAGTTCCTAAACTGTACCTAAGAATTTTCTGACAAGACAAACACCTGAAAATAATTTATCTGACTTTACAAATAAAGCTGCAGAGTGCTTGCAAACAAATGAAGAACATACATTGGTTTTGAAAACATTTTGGTTTTGTGAACTATAATACATCCTCACCTTCTCATTAACTGCCACACCAGTGCCAATGTCAGTGTTGGGTTGCCTTCATTAAGGTCCTGTCCACCAATCCCAACCAATGAGAATCTGGCCTTTGACTTCCCCAGTTCCACTGCGTAGTTACAATTTTCAATCTAAAAGAAATGACAAATCAAGATCAGAAACTATTTGGAACCATGGGCGTTGCCAGGATTTATTGGGGGGGGGCTGGCTTATGTTGCGGCAGCAGAGCCGAGTTATCTGCAATACAACTGGCCAGTTAGCTACCGTATTTTTCACTCCATTAGACACACTTTTTTCCTCCTAAAAAGTAAGGGGAAATGCTGAGTGCGTCTTATGGAGCGAATGGTGCTGCGCAGAGAGGTAGAGCTGCGCAGTGCCCCTTCAGTGAAGCGGGAGGAGGAACGGAGCCCCTACTGTTCCTCCTCCCGCTTCGCTGAAGGGGCGCTGTGCAGCTCTCCCGCTCTGCGCAGCGCCTGTCCTGAGAAGCCGGAGGAGGAACAGAAGGGTCTCCTTCTGTTCCTTTCCAGCTTCGCTGAAGGGGCGCTGCGCCTTCTCCCTCTCTGCACAGCACCTCTCCTGTGAAGGAGAGACGCTGCGCAGAGAGAGAGAACTGCGCAGCGCCCCTTCAGCGACGCGCCTGTCCTGGAAGCTGGTGGAGGAATAGAAGGGACTCCTGTTCCTTCTTCAGCTTCGCTGAAGGGGCGCTGCGCAGTTCTCCCTCTCAGAGAGGGAGTCCTGGCTTCTGCCTTAGCCGTGCGCAGCCTCTTCGGGCAGGGGGAGCCTTCATCCTGCTTCCCTGAAGAGGCTTGGCGCGGTTATCCCAGAAGCCAGAACAGCCACACGGTATCCCAGAAGCCAGATACCTCTTGCTGTTCTGGCTTCTGGGATTCAGAACAATTTTTTCTTGTTTTCCTCCTCCCAAAACTACGTGCGCCTTATGGTCTGGTGCGTCTTTTGGAGTGAAAAATACGGTAAATATTTTTATTTATTTACTTGATTTGAGGGAGGCAGCTGACTGCGCCCATGTTTGGAACTATCATTTATTAAAATATTTTAATTGGAGCAAACCAACCACACCAGTGCAGCAAGAGCACCCTATACCAGCAGATGAATGTGTTTAATATACATATGTATGGTGTCATGCTTGCTGCTTAGGAATGCAGTTAGACAAAACTTCATCCAAATCTTCTGAAAGTATTAGCTTTTATTAATATGAATCAAGGCACAGAAAACCTAGGCATACACTCCTAGTGAAGGACTACTAGGCAAATACGATTTGGCTAATTTAATACTCTCACCTGTGCTGGCAAGCATTTCCAACCTTTTTTCTTAACGGAATTGTACAACACACCTCCCTTTCCTAAGAACATTATCTAGCCATCTGTAAACAATAATAAGTAAACACAGATCTAAGCTCAACAAAAAGAACAACATCCAGATCAGCTAAAGTAGTGGCACCAGAGGTCACCAGTACTTGGTCCACCACTTAGGATGCAATTACCAGAACCCTTCCTCAAAGCACACAGTTCTTATACTGGCAAAGTCAAGGATCTGCCTTGAGATGTCACATTTATGCACAGCCCTCCTCCAGCAGGCAAAGCACATGCCTCAGAGGTCACAATATCACCTTCAGCAGTGTCACCTAAAGGAATGTCAAGTGGGCTATCCAGATGGTTGTCCTGTTCTGCAGGACTAGAACCATCTTGCACTAAGCATGCACCCACGCTGGTTTCAGATACTCCACTTTTGAAGTGTTAAATGGCACCCATTATGCTGGTACCTGCAACCATGGTGAGTCACCACTTGATACTCTCCTCATGGCCCATCAACAAGCAGAGTTCACAGCTGCCCCCTCCCTATGGATATGTGGGTCATGGCTTGAAACACCTCACCGCCAATCCCTGAGGATAACTGAGTGAACTTGGAAAGGAGTCCTAGACTTGGCCTCACTGGCGAACATTTTCTTCCAAGTTCCTATTTGGTTTAGTGATCTTCAGATGAAGTTGCAAGAACGATTAGTAGAGGCAGTTGCCTGCAGGTAAGGAAAGCATGTCCCCACTAGGTGCAGCCTGTCCATTTGCCTTCCATATCAGATTATTATTTATTAAATTTGTATACTAACTTTCATCTGAATATCACAGGGTGATGACATAAGACAGATGGCCCTAACATGCCTACTTCCAATGACTATAGAGGCCACAGAGTGCTGTTTTCCTGTAGTTGTATCAATAGCTGTACAAGAATGCTTCTACTCTGGCTTTGTTTGTATGTTGAGAATGTCTGTATCCTGTTCTGTGCAGGTGACTGAGTTTCGTATGCTTCATATGTATGCTCACCTACCATATGAGGGACTTTTTTTACTAGACTTGTAGACAGTGGTTTGGTTTCACTTTCTTGCATAATCTGTTTTGCATTATATCTGCCTTACATGTGTTTTGAGTTCTCTGCTATAGATGCATTCATTGTTCCTGGCTTTAATAGAAGCCTTGAGGTTTTCAACCTGTTTTCTAAATAAACATGCATGTGTGAAACTTGAACTGTGTGGTCTGTGATGTGGTTCACTTTTCTTGGGTGAACAGCCCTAAATGTGTTCTGAGTTTTCTGCCACAGATTCACTGATTGATATCAATGGCAAGGACAATCTCAATGTTCCCCTGATGAAACATGCAAAATTTCTTAATAATATCCTGCATGTGTGTGCAACTTGAGACGTGTTCAGCAGCTAAGCTCAGCCGCTTGAGTGACCTGCTCTGCATATACTTTTAGTTCTGGCTCCCTGCTTGTGAAACAGCTCTGAATTCTGTTGCATTCGACTGATCTGTGTTGGCCATTTATAATGGTTATATCGCTCAGTGCCTCGAGACTTGTAAGATCATTCAGTACCGTAGGTGAAAACTGCATTTTCTGTAGGCATGTATGCCTCTGTGACATGCATGCTTCATCCCAAGTGAGGCATTTGCTGAGGTCCAGTCTAAGGGCCACACCAAGAAACTTATTTCAAGAGTTGTAACTGTATTAATACGCTACCTTAAGCAAGGGTGAATAATTCAGGGACACCAACACCATTCATGATAATGCGGTTTAAGCAAATGGCTGAGGAGCCACTGTGGTTTCCAAAACAGACACTTTTACAAACCTTTTTCATGTTACCCCCAAGTGCAGGATACGGTGGTTTGTTGACGTGGTTCCATTGTACAGGTACACGAATCATCTCATAGAGCTGGAAGATTACTAAAGCATCAGCAAGGTCACTGGTCAGTGTAGGGAGAGAGAGAAAACATATATATTTACACAAATAAATTATATGTTCCTGAATGCAGTCCGTAGTGTATCCAAGTAAATTTATGAGGCTTTCATTGCTTGGTAATCCTCTCTTTTCCTCCTAAATTACTTACTTATTTACTCATTATCACAGTCACTGAGAAAATATATATCTATATCTAAATCTCTCTCTATATAATAATAATAAATTTTATTTATACCCTGCCCTTCCTGGCCAAGACCGGGCTCAGGGCGGCTAACATCAGGTATAAAAACAATTGATTAAAATACAACTTAAAAACAGGATTAAAATACAACTTAAAATGCAGCCTCATTTCAGTGGAAGCCCAGATCAAAAACTGCTTGTGGGGAGACAACGTCAAATCTTCACCAAGGCCAGCTATCCAGACTGGTCCTACATGGGCCAGAAAAAAGCCAGGGAGGTCCCCAAACAGGGGTTCCATCACAGAAGGAAAAGGAAAGAGGTGGAGGGGATCAGGCTGATTCCAAGCCAAAGGCCAGGCGGAACAACTCTGTCTTACAGGTCCTGCAGGAAGAAATCAGATCCCGCAGGGCCCTGGTCTCATGAGACAGAGCATTCCACCAGGCCAGAGCCAGTGTTGAAAAGGCCCTGGCTCTGGTTGAAGCTAATCTGACTTCCTTAGGGCCCAGGACCTCTAGAGTGTTGCTATTTATGGACCTTAAGGTCCTCCATGGGGCATACAAGGGGAGGCAGTCCCATAGGTACAAGGGTCCTAGGCTGCATATATGCATACACACACACACACACACACACACACACACACATATCAGTTCTGAATCATAAAAAGAATAGAATCATAGAATTAGTCTAACCCCATACACTGCAGGAATCTTTTGTAGTGCTCAAACGCACAACTCTGAGATTAAGAGTCTAAGGCTCCACCAACTGAGCTATATCAGCCTATCATCTCTAATGATGAGAAAAACAGTACTGTGTTATCATTGATCCAAGCAAAACTAAAGGTAAAGGGACCCCTGACCACTAAGTCCAGTCGTGACTGACTCTGGGGTTGCGGCGCTCATCTCACTTTATTGGCCGAGGGAGCCAGCATGACTAAGCCGCTTCTGGCGAACCAGAGCAGCGCACGGAAACACTGTTTACCTTCCCGCCGGAGCGGTACCTATTTATCTACTTGCACTTTGATGTGCTTTCAAACTGCTAGGTTGGCAGGAGCTGGGACCGAGCAACAGGAGCTCACCCTGTTGTGGGGATTTGAACCGCCGACCTTCTGATTGGCAAGTCCTAGGCTCTGTGGTTTAACCCATAGCACCACCCGCGTCCTATCAATTACAATATTTTCCATTGAGGGTTACACCATGGATCAGTTAAATGGCCAGAGTCAAGAATAAAAATATTACCTGTACAAATGGTTAATGTAAGGAGTTACACCCAAAGAATTCATCCAGTTTCGGAATGTTCTTTCTTCCTTACTTTCTCCTATAGCAAAGGGTACAAAATTTCTTAGATAACACATTTTATATGTGCCATTACTCTGAAAGAATATAAAAGCAATGTATCTTTTCCTGAGAAATAATCTCTTCTGATCTGGCTGTTAAAAGCTCTGGGTACAAATGGAACAGGCAACCCAAGGCAGAAGAGGTGTTTCCTCTTTCTATTAAAAAATAGTAATTTCCCACGACACCAGGTCTGGGTGGGCAGTACTATCCAAAGAGGGAAAACCTCTACTGTTTGAGAGACGTAGTTGGTGAGGAGTGTAAGAAATTAAAATCATAAAACCAAATTAAAGGTACTTAACATATTTCTATATAACAGGAGTCCACAGAACTTTGGAAAGTATATAGGGGGAAACAGTATTTCCTACTCTGCAAGCGTAATTTGAGTTTAGCAGAGATACAGGCTACCTAATGCAATACTACCTAATGAGTCACTGAGGGAGTAAACTGAGGGGGCATTTGAACCTTGGTCTACCAAGTCCAAGACCCCTACTTAATTCACTATGCCACACTGACATTGCTACAATATTATGCATGTAAGCTGATCAACACCATTTTCATATTAAAGTTATAACTGTTTATGTGGCATACATTTAGGGCAGATTGACTTTGGGAATTCTGCTGTAGATGAAATTATATGGCGTTTGATTTCCACACTGTCCATACTGTTTTGATCAAAAGCATCCAATTTTGGCTGTGTACACACCATGCATTTAAAACCCATTTAAAGCACATGACTTCCCACAAAGAATCCTGGGCACTGTAGTTACACACACACACACACACCCTGTTCCAAGTTACAATTCCCTGCACCCTCAACAAATACAGTTCCCAGGATGCTTTGGGGAAAGTCATGTGCTTTAGATGTATGACATATATGCAGCTTAGTATTTCTCAATGGGGCTGTGACCTGCATCTATTTAGAATCAAGATGGAATGAGATGGTTGAGACCCAAGGTGGGAAAACAAAGAACGTACCACTTCAAACTGCAGGTAAGGGATTCCTATATGAAGAACTCCCTGAAGATATAAAACTAGTATTATAGGGAATGATCTGGTCAACAATCTGTCTCACTGATGTGCAGTTTTTATTGCAGGGTGATGTTTTTACAAGGGTGAACATTCATAACTAGTGCATCCCCCTGTTGCCTAAAATACTACTACAGCCAATTCTATCTTTTCTGTATTCTTATCACATTTTGCTACGTGTGTAGACATAGCAACTATTTTTCTCTTTATTCTGTATTACTCTGCCCTTCTTTCATTCATGCTAATTAGGAACCAACCTATATAAATACTATACTGTGCCACTGTATATAATCTTAATTATTACTTTTTTAAAAAAAACACAGTGACACCCTACACATGGCTACTTATCTAAGTCCCACTGAGTTAAATGGGGCTTTTCCAAGGTAAGTAGGTAAAGGATTGCAGCCTAATTCAATATGTGATGCGTAGAAATTAAATATTTAAACAATGCTGCCTAATTTCAACATATTTTAACCAATTTCACGTTTTGAACAGTGAGCCAAAAATATAAATTGCCTTATGTGGCAACCTTATACAATTCTTTCCTCAAGCTGTTTCTGCTCAAATTGAGAAACATTACATTTTCTCCACATGCTTACTTAATTGAGAAAACCTTGTGATTTTAAAATTTGGACTACAATGTATTTTGGGATCAATGATTAAAATGAGCTGTGTTGATATGCTTGAGATATTTTTTTTAAAAACAATCTCTCACTCAAATGTATTTTGAACATTTCACAGACAACTAACAAACGCTTCCAGGAAAGCTTATTACTGAAAGCGTAAGAAAGGAAATATGTAGAACTTCACTCAAAGTAAGAATTTAAAAACTGCATGCTGAACAATGCCAGAAAAATCCACTCTAGACCAATAGCAGCAATAGCGTGCAAGTTGAAAGAACGTACTTCTGATTAAAAGGAACCGAGGAACTAAGAATAGCACACTGTATTTAATATGCCACTCTAAACAGGATTATTCGTTAAAAAGGAACCTAAGAATTCTTAAGCTTTTCACCTTTTTGAAAACTGGCCAGCTTTCCATTACCTCCCCCCCCTTCCTTTTCATTGTTTAGAATATACCTTCTGGAGACACAGACTGAATTTTATGTAATGGAAGGGACAAATAATAGAAAACAAAAACTGAGCTGGAGCACCATATATAGAGCCAACATGCCCTATGGCACTTCTCTTTGTGTGACTAAAATATTATGCAGTAGCATTATGCCAATAGAATAAAGAAGAGAGGGCATGAGTCACTGAACAATATGGCACACACCTCCCTCCCTCCCTCCTCTCTCTCTCTCTCTCTCTCTCTCTCTCCTCTCTCAGTGGCACAATGCTAGGTACAATTTAATTTATCAAAAGGCTAGTCAGTAACAACACATCCCACAATCTTTCTGTGGAAAGAGAAATAAGAATCTTCGGGCATAATTGCCAGCTCTTGTTTCTCTGTGACAGCAAAAATCCTTGTTTATCCATCACCAATGCAAAATCTAAAACACTAAAGCAATAGCTTGATGCATGAAAGGCCCCACTGTCTAAGCAGTGTGGGAGAAACACTAATGGATGCTAAACAGTCTCGCCACCAGTAAGGCAGACTATTTTCCCTTCAGTCAATTGGTCCTATTCACAGTTGTATTTGTTTTTATCATGCCCGTCATCACAATGTGATGACAAGGTGGGTTACAAACAAGATAAAGCAATCTCTAAAATAATAAAACAATATAAAATATAGCACTGCTACAACTGCTCCTTCTCAATGCAAATACCAGTAACGTCACACTTCTATATCATTAAATGCCTGGTGGAAGAAGATTGTGTGTGTGTGTGTGTGTGTGTGTGTGTGTGTGTGTTTAACAACAGAGAGAAGTTGCAGTAGAATCCTAATGCCTTGGAAGACGATGACATTTACACAGGACATAAAGACATACCCAGAGTATAGCTCTGGACCAGAGGAACTCAAATCTGTATCATTTTACTGTATTTCTAAAAGGGTATTCATGAAATTAGAATTCGAGCCAGCTGAGAGAGAAAAAGAGACACTGTATTGTTCCAGAGGATGAAACTGTCCCTATTTGTGTGTCTCAAGTCTTGAGTCTCCTTCAGTCCTTATTTGTGAGACTCCAAGTCACGGCTCCTAAAACAGCCCTGTTATGTATGAAAACAGCCTTCAACCTTGCATTTATATATGAATTAATTAATATTTTTCTCTCAATTGTAACGGCATATTAAAAAGAAAAATAGGTTATATGACCAGTGCAGGAGGATAATAAGGAGGGGGAAGCAGTCATAGCAGGAAGGGAACAAAATCAATCATCTCAAGATAAATACATTTACAGGCTAAAGAAAAATACTAAATACAGTACCTACATTAGGAGGAGTCAAATCTGCATTTCATGAAGAAAAATGGGAAAATTATAAATGGTCAAATTATGAAAGCTCACCTCAGAAATAACTATAAAGAAATGGATGTGCTCACCATTCATATAGTAATATTTGACACACACAAAAACCCACTACAAAATGCAGGCAATGAGGATAAAACTGGATGAAATGCTGGAAGAACAGTGATCAGATCTTACACAAACACTTTCTTCTTCTTTTAGTTCAAAGCAGACAGAGAAGCTTGAATCATATTGGGGAAAAGGTGTTTTAACAATTTTGCTATTCAGGGTCTCTTGAGGGACTCACAGCAAAGGACGCATACAAAGACAATATATTTGAACATCAATATTTGAACATAATATTTGAACATCAAACAATAACAATATTCTCTGTTAAAATATATAATGTACATAAATAAAGCAAAGCTATAAAACTGAGCACCGTCCTCCCAAGTGTCGTTTTTCAGGCCATTACCACAGAACCTTTCCACCTGGTCATTATCAGTACCAGTTGCTTGGTTTTAGTAACAAGAGAGGGGAAATGGTTGCTGTTCACTTGTCTCAACTCCAACAGCAGTCTTCTTTAAATGGCTGCAAGTGTCATAGCCCAATGTGGAAAACAAAACTCGCAGGCCCTTTGTAACAGAAAAAGAATATAAGCAGGCAAGGTACTTATAGTTTTGGAGAACTTCACAACTCATCTTAAAATTTTAAAGAAGACCTCACTACTAATCTGCTCTTAAGATTTTAGGGCTTTGTAGAGAGGAGGTAGCCAAGCATCCTAGCTGCACTGAGATAATATAGCCTAACTGCCCATAATGCTGGTTGCTCCTGCTAGGGAGGCCAGAGAATTCCAATGAAAGGAGTGGTGGAAATTTTGCTTGCTCAGTCTGTGGTTCTTCCTCATCCTCTGTTTGAATTGCTGCTTCATCAGTTGGTTCTACTGCTACCTGGACTTGACTCCATGTGCATACTGGCTGTAGATTTATAACCAGTAATGAAACCACAACATTTCTACAGTTTCTGCTTGTAGTCTGTAAACAGGTAGGTCTCCCTCTTATTGCTCCACTATTATATGCACCACTGGTTCCCGCTGATCAGCAAACTTTTATTTTCACCTAAAACTAAGGGTCACCAGTTTCCAGAAATGACATATGGGATGTCAAAGTGGTTATTAGTCAATTAATTTTTTGCAGCTTGTTTGGCAGCAAGTGTATCACAGTCTTCATCTTAAATCTTTTATGTACTGTTGATCCATCACCACACCTTGTCCTTTTTCTTTAACTCCAAAACACAAATCAATAGGCAATAAAGATGGTCTCCGCTTAACATTTTTCAGGTCCTCTGTTCCCAACATGTTCATTCAGGTATGACTGCACCTTTTCACTGGATGTCCATTTGGGTAATAGGAAGTTGTGACTTTACTCCTGAGATTTGACCCAACTCTGATGCAAAAGTAGCACCTTAATCACTATGGCTTCTTCTAGGAAACCCATAGCGACTGATAAAGATGTTCTACAATACGTTAGCAGCTGTTTGGGGCATTAACTGATCATTTTGCCACTAATACA